GCAACATACAGGGTTATAAACTATTCCACACTGATAGGGTCAACAGGAAGGGTGGCGATGTATGTCAGAGAAAATTTAAATTGTTGTCTTAGACATGATATAAGATTAGAAACATCGAACACGGAATCTGTTTGGCTACAGTTTCTCGAGGGATGTGACAAATTAATTGTGGGTGTGATTTATAGGCCCCCAAACCTTGATAGGGAGAGCAGTAAGCTGTTATGGGACGAAATTCATAAGGCATCTAGATATGAAAATGTTGTGATAATGGGAGATTTTAACTTTAGACAAATTGATTGGAACAATATGACAGGAAATCTTGAGTCTAGTGACTTTCTTGATATGGTTCAGGATTGCTTTTTAAAACGGTTTGTGACAGAACCAGCTAGAGGAAACAATCTGCTTGACCTGGTTCTTGCCAACAAAGATTCACTAATTAACCCTTTCAGGGTCCGTCCCGTAGATCTACGGCTTTACGGTGAGTGTCCAAACCGTAGATCTACGCCATGAGCTCAGCTCACTCTGATAAACTGTGAGTGGTACATTTGGGCCTAGATATGAGAGAATACATCTATGTGGTATGTGTGCACCACATAAAACAGATCCTGCAGCACGCTGTGTATAATGAGAGAAAAAAACTGAAATCATGATTTTTCGATTAAAACAGCAACTTTGCAGTGTTTTTTCGTATGTTTTTTATAGTTGTATTTGCGATTTCTTGGCCTCATTTGATAGAATGGAAGACATATTACAGAAATAGAGATGATTTTGATTGGTTTTAGCACTGGAAATGGCTTGAAACTGAGCTCAAAGTAGCAGAAATGTTAAATTTTTGCCGATATTCAAGAGTAAACAAACGACCTCACACGTCTAATACACGTCAGCTGGTGGGTCTAATATACATTCACAAATATGGTGATGATATTTATACAATTATTACAGTATTGCATAACAGTAAATCTTCTATTTTTTGGTGTGAATAAAAATTCATTATGTGAATAAAAAATCAAAATGGAATTTATTTGTAAAGCCTCAAAACATAACTAATGAACAGAGGAAATGTTAGTTTAGTGCCAGGAATGCCTACATTGTTTATTCTGGACCCTATTTTGAAATTGGAATATTTTGAACTTTGTGTTAAATTGGCCAAATTAACAATTTCCGATCACTTTATTTTGTAGTTGAAACAGTTGACTTGGCGATTTCTTGTGCTCAATCGATAGAATAGAAGTAATACTAGTGAAATAGCTAAGAATTTGGTTGATTGGAATAATGTAATTGGCCTAAAATGGGAGTCAAAGTCAGCAAAATCGCCGATTCGTAAATATCGCTGACACATCAAAATTCGCGAGAGGATAATTTCATCAATTTTCCACCAAATTTCGTACTTTTTGTTTTATTACCTTCACAAAAAGATTCTCTACAATTTCATAAGAAAAAATAACAATTTTTTTTTTTTTAAATTCTTGGACACTGGTGCGTGACTCCAGATTTGGGCCTTGGACCCTAAAAGGGTTAATAATCTTGAGGTTAATGGTGAGCTTGGGGAAAGTGATCACAAATCACTTAGTTTCAATATATCATGGAATTACCCAGATAACTGCAGTCAAATCTCTGTCCCAGATTTTCGCTTGGCCGACTTCATTGGACTGAAAAATTACTTGCGTGGGCTAATTTGGGATGTCCTGACTATGGGTCAGGTAGGTGATCTTGGTTGCCAATATGACATTTTTCAGAGCATAGTACTAGCTGCCCAGACAACTTTTGTTCTGAGTAGGGAAATTAGATCTAACAAAAATGATCCCAAATGGATGAACAATAGATTAAAACATCTCATTGGTCAAAAGAGAGGCATATATAGGCATATCAAAAGAGAGGATGGGCAGTTTAGAAATCAATATATTCAATTAAAGAGAGAAATAAAAAAAGGAATAAGAAAAGCAAAAAGGGATTATGAGGCTAAGGCCGCAAGGGATTCAAAAACTAACCCAAAAGGGTTCTTTCAGGTATACAGAAGTAAGATTAGGGACAAGATTGGCCCACTTAAGAGTAACTCTGGTCAGATCACTGACAGTGATAAGAATATGTGTGAAATTCTAAATACCTACTTTCTCTCAGTTTTCACCCAGGAAAATACTAGCGATATTCCTGAAATAATAGATTATGTAGAACAGGATGATGATAAACTATGTACGATTGCAGTAGCTAGTGACATGGTCCTCAGACAAATAGAGAAACTAAAACCTAACAAATCCCCAGGTCCTGATGAACAGTTTGCAAGGGTGTTAAAGGAATGTAAAGAGGAACTTAGCATACCTTTGGCTCATCTTTTTAACATGTCACTACAAACTGGCATAGTGCCTGATAAGTGGAAAATGGCAAATGTAATACCTATTTACAAGGCAGGTGACAGGTCCTTGGCTTCGAACTATAGACCAATAAGCCTTACCTCCATAGTTTACCTGGAGAGAGTTCCGGGGGTCAACGCCCCCGCGGCCCGGTCTGTGACCAGGCCTCCTTAGGTCAGTGTCCCAGGATGCGACCCACACCAGTCGACTAACACCCAGGTACCCATTTTACTGATGGGGAACATAGACAACAGGTGGAAAGAAACATGTCCAATGTTTCTACTCTGGCTGGGAATCGAACCCAGGCCCTCACCGTGTGAAGCGAGAGCGTTAACCACCAGGCCACCAGAGAAAATTTATGGAATCAATAATTGCAGAAGCAATTCATAGCCATCTTGACAGGCACAGATTGATTAATGAATCTCAACGCGGTTTTACAAAGGGGCGTTCCTGTCTTACGAATTTACTAACTTTTTTCACTAAGGTGTTTGAGGAGGTAGATCATGGTAATGAATATGATATTGTGTATATGGACTTCAGTAAGGCTTTCGATAGAGTTCCACACCAGAGGCTATTGAGGAAACTTAGGGCACACAGAATAGGAGGAGAAATTTTTTCCTGGGTAGAGGCATGGCTGACAAATAGACAGCAGAGAGTTTGCATAAATGGGGAGAAATCAGCATTGGGGCACATCACAAGCGGTGTTCCTCAGAGGTCAGTGTTGGGCCCGTTGTTTTTCACAATTTACATAAACGACATAGATGAGGGAATAAATAGCGACATAAGCAAATTTGCTGATGACACCAAAATAGGCCGTCCAATTCATTCTAATGAGGACATTAGAGCACTTCAGGATGATTTGAATAGACTGACGCAATGGTCGGAGAAGTGGCAGATGCAGTTTAACATTGACAAATGCAAAGTTCTAAATGTTGGACAGTTAAATAACCATGCCACATATAAACTAAATAATGTAGATCTTAATACTACTGATTGCGAAAAGGATTTAGGAGTTCTGGTTAGCAGTAACCTAAAACCAAGACAACAGTGCATTAGTGTTCGCAATAAAGCTAACAGAATTCTTGGCTTAATATCTAGAAGTATAAATAATAGAAGTCCTCAGGTTGTTCTTCAACTCTATATATCCTTGGTTAGGCCTCATTTAGACTATGCTGCTCAGTTCTGGTCACCGTATTACAGAATGGATATAAATGCTCTGGAAAACGTACAAAGGAGGATGACAAAGATGATCCCATGTATCAGAAATCTTCCTTATAAAGATAGACTGAGGGCCCTGAATCTGCACTCTCTCGAAAGGCATAGAATTAGGGGGGATATGATCGAGGTGTATAAATGAAAAACAGGAATAAATAAAGGGGATGTAAATAGCATGCTGAAAATTTCCAGCCATGACAGGACTCGTAGCAATGGTTTCAAGTTGGAAAAATTCAGATTCAGGAAGGATATAGGAAAGCACTGGTTTGGTAATAGAGTTGTGGATGAGTGGAACAAACTCCCGAGTACAGTTATTGAGGCTAAAACGTTGTGTAGTTTTAAAAATAGGTTAGATAAATACATGAGTGGGTGTGGGTGGGTGTGAGTTGACCTGACTAGCTTGTGCTGCTGGGTCTGGTGCAGTGCTCCATCCTTGAGTGGAGATGACCAGGCTGGGTGGGTCATTGATCTAATCTGGGGGGGAAACATGGACCTGCTCTGCTTGGGTCAGTAGACCTGTTGCAGTGTTCCTTCTTTCTTATGTTCTTAAATGACCAAACCACCTCAACAATCCCTCTTCAGCCCTCTGACTAATACTTTTATTAACTCCACACCGTCTCCTAATTTCCACACTCCGAATTTTCTGCATAATATTTACACCACACATTGCCCTAAGACAGGACATCTCCACTGCCTCCAACCGCCTCCTCGCTGCTGCATTCACAACCCAAGCTTCACACCCATATAAGAGTGTTGGTACTACTATACTTTCATACATTCCCTTCTTTGCCTCCATAGATAACGTTTTTTGTCTCCACATATACCTCAATGCACCACTCACCTTTTTTTCCCTCATCAATTCTGTGATTAACCTCATCCTTCATAATTTTGTCATAATATTGTCTTGATCTTAAGTAGTCTTTAAGCATTAGGATTATTTTGAAATACATTGCATATTAGAAGCTCTGTGTTGTGCCTAACAAGGTTATATTACACGTGTATTAGGCATACACTTGGGCCAGGTATATTCCTGGCTTGGGTATAATTCTGGGCAGTCATGTGTCAGCATTAAAGTTTATTCAAGTACAGATACACATAAATACAGTTACATGATACAGTCATCTGTCAGTATACAGTCATGTCAACATAGTCATGTGTCATCATGATATAATCTTGTATTATCATGATAGTCATGTGTCAGCATGATACAGGCATGTATTAGCATAATAGTCATGTGTCAGCATGATAGTCATGTATTAGCATGGTAGTCATGTGTCATCATGATAGTCATGTATTAGCATGATAGTCATGTGTCAGCATAATATTGCTGCAGGTGTAATAATGTTGGTACTGCTACAGGTATAATAACATTGGTACTGCCACAGGTATAATAACATAGGTACTGCCACAGGTATAATAACATTGGTACTGTCGCAGGTACGCAACTTGCCGGTGGGTGTGGAGGCAGACACAGTGTTCGATGACGAGACGCTAGAGGCAGTGCAGGAAGCCATGGGCACCGTGGGTAGTGTTGTCTTGGTGCGCTTTGTCGATAACAAGATCTGGTTCACCTTCAGTGACTCCCAGACTGCACTCAAGGCTGCAGCATGTAGTCCCTTATTGGTAAGACAAACTGAGAGAGTGTCAATGAGTGAGTGAGAGTGTCTGTCTGTGTCTCAGTCAACACACACACTGACTCTGGACTCCACTTGTGGCTCTCATCTTCATAACATAAAGTTTTCTCTTTTAATAACATCTTCACACTTTATCAATCACTAACATATTCAACAATTATAGAAGGCACTATCAAAAAGTTTCTGGACCGCTATAAAAAAAAAAAATAGGCTTAGATAATCACCTAGTTGAAGTGTATACCTGACCAAGGAGAGCACTTCCTGCCCTGGAAGTGCTCTCTTTGTCAGGTATACACTGATCTCAGCCACTCTGACACTTCTCCAGACATTTCCGGAACTCTTCTTTCCTAACAGTGTGTTACTCAGCCTGTGATTCTGCTGGAATATCCTTCATGACATTACAGTACCATTTTTATTTTTAGAAGAGCAAGAAATCACAGGGAGCTAAATCTGGGGAGTAGGGAGGCTGAGGGATGACTGTCATGTTTTTGGCCAGAAAACTATACTCTGGTTTTGTGGCAGCAGTCAAGCCACAGATTTCTCAGATGCTTGCCTCTTGTTCAAATTTCCAGTCAGAATACTTTGGCACGATCCAAGAGGAATTCATACAACACTTGCAATGTCCTGGAGACTGACGATCTTCCTGAATAACTTTCCTCATTTTTTCAGTGTTTGTCCTCTGTTTTTGATGTTGATGGACAACCAAAACATTTATCATCTTCATCTAACTTTCATCTTGCTCTAAATTAAGAAAAGCATTCAAAACACTGTGTCCCACCCATTGCTTCATTGCTAATATTTGCTGAAGCATTTTTGTGAGTCACTAGCCATTTTGCCAAGCATGAAACAAGATTTTCCACATGCTATTTTTTCCTTTAAACATTTTGTTACTGACAGCATGACAAAATATGCTCATCTGACTTCAACAGAATGACCAACAACCCTGAAACTCTCCAGTCTGCTTCATAAAGGAGTGTACTGCCCAGTGTGATCTACACCACTGCCATATTTCACTCAAGAAGGGTGCAAAACAGAGTCTGGGAACTTTTTGTGCAATTGTTGGGGGTCCAAGAGGTTGGCAGTCTTGCTTCTTAGAACTAGATTTTTATAATGTGGGACATTAGAGCTGTCAGTCTATAATTCTTTGTTATTCCTGTGCTTCTACCTTAATGGAGTGGGGCTATATTCATTGTTTTTAGTGGGATGACATCCATTTATATCATGAGACACTCAACTTAGTTTTGTGTGTAGCATTTGATGGGCCACACTGGACTTGCACACAGCTATCATATAGACAACAGACAATCACAAATAACCCACACACACAGAGAGGAGCTTACGATGACATTTCGGTCCGACTTTACAAACTCGGACCAAAACTTCATCGTAAGCTCCTCTCTCCTATGTGCCTGTTATTTGTGCACTGTTCTAGTCACAGTATTGTACCTTTGTGATTCTTCACAACAGATAATATATTATTGTCTTTCAACTTAATTTGTGAATGGATATTTTTTCTTATCAGATTAAAGGACACGAACTGGAGGTTAAACTGAAGACTGAGGCATGGAGGGAACAACTGGAGGAGGAGTTGGCACTGTGTGGTGACACAACAGTGCCACTCACTGATGAACCTCTCAACATTACTGAGAGTGATGATGCTGCTGTCAGACTCAGGAGCATTGAAGGTAAGTGTTAATTAACATCTGTGTGGCTCAGATAGAACTGGAAATGAGATGTAGCACAGGTGTTAGTTCACAAGTGTAACATGGGTAGCACAAGTGCTAGGGTCACAGGTATAACACAGGTGTTAGGTTCACAGTTGTAGATCATATGTTAGGTTCACAGTTGTAGAGCATGTGTTAGGTTCACAGTTGTAGAACATGTGTTAGGTTCACAGTTGTAGAGCATGTGTTAGGTTCACAGTTGTAGAGCATGTGTTAGGTTCACAGTTGTAGAACATGTGTTAGGTTCACAGTTGTAGAGCATGTGTTACATTTACAGTTGTAGAGCATGTGTTACATTTACAGTTGTAGAGCATGTGTTAGGTTCACAGTTGTAGAGCATGTGCTAGGTTCACAGGTGTAGCACAAGTGTTAGGTTCACAGTTGTAGAGCATGTGTTAGGTTCACAGTTGTAGAGCATGTGTTAGGTTCACAGGTGTAGCACAAGTGTTAGGTTCACAGTTGTAGAGCATGTGTTAGGTTCACAGGTGTAGCACAAGTGTTAGGTTCACAGTTGTAGAGCATGTGTTAGGTTCACAGGTGTAGCACAAGTGTTAGGTTCACAGTTGTAGAGCATGTGTTAGGTTCACAGTTGTAGAGCATGTGTTAGGTTCACAGTTGTAGAGCATGTGTTAGGTTCACAGGTGTAGCACAAGTGTTAGGTTCACAGTTGTAGAGCATGTGTTAGGTTCACAGTTGTAGAGCTTGTGTTAGGTTCACAGGTGTAGCACAAGTGTTAGGTTCACAGTTGTAGAGCTTGTGTTAGGTTCACAATTGTAGAGCTTGTGTTAGGTTCACAGTTGTAGAGCTTGTGTTAGGTTCACAGTTGTAGAGCTTGTGTTAGGTTCACAGGTGTAGCACAAGTGTTAGGTTCACAGTTGTAGAGCATGTGTTAGGTTCACAGTTGTAGAGCTTGTGTTAGGTTCACAGGTGTAGCACAGGTGTCAGGTTCACAGTTGTAAAGCAGGTGTTAGGTTCACAGTTGTAAAGCAGGTGTTAGGTTCACAGTTGTAGAGCATGTGTTAGGTTCACAGTTGTAGAGCATGTGTTACGTTCACAGGTGCAGCACATGGGTTAGGCTTGACACACGAACATGTAAGACGACAGTCAGCTCTTACAAAGCTCCTCTGTATACAGTCAGCTCTTATAAAGCTCTTCTGTATACAGTCAGCTCTTATAAAGCTGTTCTGTATACAATCAGCTCTTATAAAGCTCTTCTGTATACAGTCAGCTCTTATAAAGCTCCTCTGTATACAGTCAGCTCTTATATAGCTCCTCTGTATACAGTCAGCTCTTATAAAGCTCCTCTGTATACAGTCAGCTCTTATAAAGCTCCTCTGTATACAGTCAGCTCTTATAAAGCTCTTCTGTATACAGTCAGCTCTTATAAAGCTCCTCTGTATACAGTCAGCTCTTATAAAGCTCTTCTGTATACAGACAGCTCTTATAAAGCTTCTGTATACACTCAGCTCTTATAAAGCTCTTCTGTATACAGTCAGCTCTTATAAAGCTCTTCTGTATACAGTCAGCTCTTATAAAGCTCCTCTGTATACAGTCAGCTCTTATAAAGCTCTTCTGTATAAAGTCAGCTCTTATAAAGCTCCTCTATATACAGTCAGCTCTTATAAAGCACTTCTGTATACAGTCAACTCTTATAAAGCTCCTCTGTATACAGTCAGCTCTTATAAAGCTCTTCTGTATACAGACAGCTCTTATAAAGCTCCTCTGTATACAGTCAGCTCTTATCAAGCTCTTCTGTATCTTCAGCTCTTATAAAGCTCTTCTCTATACAGACAGCTCTTATAAAGCTCCTCTGTATACAGTCAGCTCTTATAAAGCTCTTCTGTATACAGTCAGCTCTTATAAAGCTCTTCTGTATACAGTCAGCTCTTATAAAGCTCTTCTGTATAAAGTCAGCTCTTATAAAGCTCTTCTGTATACAGTCAGCTCTTACGAAGCTCCTCTGTATACAGTCAGCTCTTATAAAGCTCTTCTGTATACAGTCAGCTCTTATAAAGCTCTTCTGTATACAGTTAGCTCTTATAAAGCTCTTCTGTATACAGACAGCTCTTATAAAGCTCCTCTGTATACAGTCAGCCCTTATAAAGCTCTTCTGTATACAGTCAGCTCTTACAAAGCTTCTCTGTATACAGTCAGCTCTTATAAAGCTCTTCTGTATACAGTCAGCTCTTATAAAGCTCTTCTGTATACAGTCAGCTCTTATAAAGCTCTTCTGTATAAAGTCAGCTCTTATAAAGCTCCTCTGTACACAGCTCTTATAAAGCTCTTCTGTATACAGACAGCTCTTATAAAGCTCTTCTGTATACAGTCAACTCTTATAAAGCTCCTCTGTATACAGTCAGCTCTTACAAAGCTCCTCTGTATACAGACAGCTCTTACAAAGCTCTTCTGTATACAGACAGCTCTTATAAAGCTCTTCTGTATACAGACAGCTCTTATGAAGCTCTTCTGTATACAGTCAGCTCTTATAAAGCTTCTGTATAAAGTCAGCTCTTATAAAGCTCTTCTGTATACAGTCAGCTCTTATAAAGCTCTTGTGTATAAAGTCAGCTCTTATAAAGCTCCTCTGTATACAGTCAGCTCTTATAAAGCTCCTCTATACAGACAGCTCTTATAAAGCTCTTCTGTATACAGTCAGCTCTTATAAAGCTCTTCTGTATACAGTCAGCTCTTACAAACCTCTTCTGTATACAGTCAGCTCTTATGTATACAGACAGCTCTTACAAAGCTCCTCTGTATACAGTCAGCTCTTACAAAGCACTTCTGTATAAAGTCAGCTCTTATAAAGCTCCTCTGTATACAGACAGCTCTTATAAAGCTCCTCTGTATACAGACAGCTCTTATAAAGCTCCTCTGTATACAGACAGCTCTTACAAAGCTCCTCTGTATACAGTCAGCTCTTATAAAGCTCTTCTGTATACAGTCAGCTCTTATAAAGCTCCTCTGTATACAGTCAGCTCTTATAAAGCTCTTCTGTATACAGTCAGCTCTTATAAAGCTCCTCTGTATACAGTCAGCTCTTATAAAGCTCTTCTGTATACAGTCAGCTCTTATAAAGCTCCTCTGTATATAGTCAGCTCTTATAAAGCTCTTCTGTATACAGTCAGCTCTTATAAAGCTCCTCTGTATACAGTCAGCTCTTATAAAGCTCTTCTGTATAAAGTCAGCTCTTATAAAGCTCTTCTGTATACAGTCAGCTCTTATAAAGCTCTACTGTATACAGTCAGCTCTTATAAAGCTCTTCTGTATACAGTCAGCTCTTATAAAGCTCTTCTGTATACAGTCAGCTCTTATAAAGCTCTTCTGTATACAGTCAGCTCTTATAAAAGCTCTTCTGTATACAGTCAGCTCTTATAAAGCTCTTCTGTATACAGTCAGCTCTTATAAAGCTCTTCTGTATACAGTCAGCTCTTATAAAGCTCTTCTGTATACAGTCAGCTCTTATAAAGCTCTTCTGTATACAGTCAGCTCTTATAAAGCTCTTCTGTTTACAGTCAGCTCGTATAAAGCTCTTCTGTATACAGTCTGCTCTTATAAAGCTCTTCTGTATACAGTCAGCTCTTATAAAGCTCTTCTGTATACAGTCAGCTCTTATAAAGCCCCTCTGTATACAGTCAGCTCTTATAAAGCTCTTCTGTATACAGTCAGATCTTATAAAGCTCTTCTTTATACAGTCAGCTCTTATGAAGCTCTTCTGTATACAGACAGCTCTTATGAAGCTCTTCTGTATACAGTCAGCTCTTATAAAGCTCTTCTGTATACAGTCAGCTCTTATAAACCTCCTCTGTATACAGACAGCTCTTATAAAGCTCTTCTGTATACAGCTCTTATAAAGCTCTTCTGTATACAGACAGCTCTTATAAAGCTCCTCTCTATACAGTCAGCTCTTATAAAGCCCCTCCGTATACAGTCAGCTCTTATAAAGCTCTTCTGTATACAGTCAGCTCTTATAAAGCTATTCTGTATACATTCAGCTCTTATAAAGCTCTTCTGTATACAGTCAGCTCTTATAAAGCTCCTCTGTATACACTCAGCTCTTATAAAGCTCTTCTGTATACAGTCAGCACTTATAAAGCTGTTCTGTATACAGTCAGCTCTTATAAAGCTCTTCTGTATAAAGTCAGCTCTTATAAAGCTCTTCTGTATACAGTCAGCTCTTATAAAGCTCTTCTGTATACAGTCAGCTCTTATAAAGCTCTTCTGTATAAAGTCAGCTCTTATCAAGCTCTTCTGTATACAGTCAGCTCTTATAAAGCCCTTCTGTATACAGTCAGCTCTTATAAAGCTCCTTTGTATACAGACAGCTCTTATAAAGCTCTTCTGTATACAGTCAGCTCTTATAAAGCTCTTCTGTATAGTCAGCTCTTATAAAGCTCCTCTGTATACAGTCAGCTCTTATAAAGCTCCTCTGTATACAGACAGCTCTTATAAAGCTCTTCTGTATACAGTCAGCTCTTATAAAGCTCTTCTGTATAGTCAGCTCTTATAAAGCTCCTCTGTATACAGTCAGCTCTTATAAAGCTCTTCTGTATACAGTCAGCTCTTATAAAGCTCTTCTGTATACAGTCAGCTCTTATAAAGCTCCTCTGTATACAGTCAGCTCTTATAAAGCTCCTCTGTATACAGTCAGATCTTATAAAGCTCTTCTGTATACAGACAGCTCTTATAAAGCTCCTCTGTATACAGTCAGCTCTTATAAAGCTCTTCTGTATACAGTCAGCTCTTATAAAGCTCCTCTGTATACAGTCAGCTCTTATAAAGCTCCTCTGTATACAGTCAGCTCTTATAAAGCTCCTCTGTATACAGACAGCTCTTATAAAGCTCTTCTGTATACAGTCAGCTCTTATAAAGCTCCTCTGTATCAGATCAGCTCTTATAAAGTTCTTCTGTATACAACAGCTCTTATAAAAGCTCCTCTGTATACAGTCAGCTCTTTATAAAGC